CATGAGCAATATCTTAGCAAATTGAAATGATAACAGGCTCTTATTTTATATTCTAGATTGTAAGTATTGGCAATTTAAGTTTCTAATTCGTATGAAACTATAAACTCTTTGACTTCACAAACATCTAATTAGAACCAGTGCTACATTCAACATACCACGTGTCACACAAAAAAAAATCAATGTTTATCTGTGTTTTTTAATTTTTGCTTTTAAATTAAGAAATTGAGTAATATATAGTACTAAAATTTGAATTATAATCTACAGTTTGATACCAAAGTTATTGACAAAAATTCATGAAATAGTAGTTCAATAAAATTTTGAATGCGAGTCAACAAATGAGACAACATGGCCTTTTACCCATGACCCGTCTTGAAAGGGTTAAACAGTTAAAAAAACTGAAAACTGTACATTTTTTATGGACTTTTTGCTTTGGATACAGCTTCATGATGGTTTCAGTCAACAGTCTATGTCAGTGGTTCCCACAAACCAGATCCTCAAAAGCTTGAGTCATGGCCCACACTGTGATTAGACAGATATTGCAAAGGTAAGCAAATTTGTATTTAAGGAATGACTTATTCCCCAACAAGCTCAGGCCTGGCCTTTGGCTTTAGGAACATCATCTGAACTGGCCCAATGTGGAAAACAATTGGGGACCACTGGTCTATATACTTCTGACACTGTGAACATATGACAATACATTCTCAAAAGTTGAAATAAAGAACCAACAGAAATCTGCAGATAAGCACTATCAACACTAAATATTTATCAATTAATTGTATTCACCAAAAGTTGAAATTCAGTACAGATTTATTGAAAATTCTAATCATTTTGTGGAAAATTTTAAAGTTTCACTTACCATTATGGATAACTAGTGAAAATGGATGCCTGACCATTGAAGAACTTATTGTTTGGACATCAGTACCATCAAGATTAGCATGCTGAATGTGAGCAAGTAAAGCATCACACCAATAGAGACGATCTTTCATAAAGTCAATACTCAAGCCAGTTGGCCAACCTAGAATAATCCCATGGAACATCAGTGAATTTGTCCCATCTAAATATGTTCTGCTGATTTTTGCTGGTTGATCCCACTCGGAGTAAAACAGGTAACTACAAAACAAATTATGTTCTTTATTATAAATCAGCACTGTTTGTGTATTTACATAGTAAAGATTAAAAGTATCAAGAAGCCTCTAGATTGGTGTTTCTTAACCCTTTCAATAACATGGACCAGCTTGCTGCCTCTCTAAATTGTTGCAGACCTCTAAAATGCAAGTACAACAAAATACATATGATTTATAAATGAATATTGTATTAATTTTCGTTTTTTCTGTTATTGCTAAATCCTATTGGGTGGCAAGGTGTTCTAACAGATCACCTCCAATCCATGGACTAGTGGTTAAGAAACACTGCTCTATATAATGAAAAACTCAGTTTAAAACAAAAGGTGATTCCTTCTTCTGTCACACTGCACAATACAAGTTAAGAAAAATGTTAGCATCTTTCTACATAATAACATACAGCAACATTACTAATAATTTATTTATTGAATCCAAGTGAACTCACAAAAAGTACAAATGTAACAAACATCAATACCAACCCCCTGTTAGGATGAACTACAATGGCACGAGGATGTCTCAGGTTGTCAATCAGTGTCTTTCTGTTTTGATAGTTATTCATGGAAATGACATTTAAAGTTCCTTTTTTGCTCTTAATATAGTAAAGATTGTTGGAGATCCAATCCAGAGCCAAGCCTTCCATACCTTCATACTGTGATACAAGCACATTTTCCTTTCCTGTATATCATAATCAAACAGTTTTAATATTCATACTTAGTTCATTTAAGTAAAAACAAAAGGTACACATCATTAAAAATAAGTGATGCTGGGAAGAAAAGAAATATTCAATGAGAAAGGAAGTCAGTGTGAAAACAGTTCCATTCAAAGGGAACATTTTTGGATATCTCTTATCAAATCAATTTAGGGATTTGGGGAATTGAGATACCATTAATGATGATGATACTCTGAGTGATCACAGTTCCATAAAAATGGATATCTTTCGATATCTGTGATGAAAACAATTCTGGGAAAATAGATACCACTAATGATGATCTGAGTGATTACAGTTCCACTAAAGGGGATGTTTTTAGATAGATGTGATGAAAACAATTCTAAGAACAAAGATAGCATTGATAATGATGATGTTTTAAATGATTATAGTTCCAAAAAAAGCAATAGCTCTGGTGAAGATGACACATCTCAGAATAACAACCTATAATGTAAAATTAACTAAATACTAAATACAAAATACAGTCTGTAGTCCGACATATTTATGTAGTAGAAGGCACGGAAGTCAACAAGAAGGTATCTGAGGAAAATACCTTGAAAGAAACTAAATGAACTGTGTATGAAAAATTCTGGCCAAATGTTAAGAAGGACTTTAAAAGATTCTATCAGCAACTCAGACATGATCTCCTTCACAAAGAAAACCCATAATAGATTAAATCAGAAATATTTCTGAGTGGTCGTAAGAAAAGAAAGTAATTATTGAGTTCTGGATCAAAAATGTGAATAATGATGATGCTTTCATTTAGTAAAAGGTGAAATAAAATAACTGTACAAATATTAATGAATGGCTCACAAGAATAATAGAAAACGTAAAACAATTATACTAGGAATTAATCTGTGTCATTAATCACTCATAAAAAATGAATTAATTGAAATTTAAAAATAAAGGTCAAGTACAACAGATGCAAAAGAAAAGACATTGACACTAACAAAAGCTTTGTAAACGTTAGGTTCAGAGCTACAAGTGTGGGTGAAACCCCAATATGTGGTCAGTTGTTTTCCTTCATTCTTTGGTATTTAATGTCTACCCAACTCATTTCTGTTTTTGACTAACATGAAACAAAACAAAAGCTTGAAAATTATGATAGAGATTATACCTTAAAGTACTAATATGGTTTTAAATCAAACTTTCCTAACAATTATGGAATATCTCTTTGTTCATTTATGTTAAATGAGTAAGAGGGGGGGGTCTTGTCACAAATCTCAACACAATGGGAGGAACAGCCAATGATAACAAAGAATAATAACTTGACACAGTGATATGTTTTTAATATTTAACTCATCCAATAGCCATGAAATGTCTCTGTGTATTTACATTGGACAATAAAGAAGCGATGTTGTCATAAATCTCGTTACAATGGGGAAACGTTATTTTCAGTAAGATTATTGTAAATAGACACGGACCATGTCGAGTGAGGATTCAAATCCTAATTTACTTTGGTTAGAAATACTATCTTTGTTTGTTCTTTCATGGGCCATGTTGACAGAAGCCAGAAAAACCCATTCATAATGGTTAAAGCAGGGAGATATAAAATGTTTTTGATGTACTAGCCTAAAATTAGCAGGCATGAGAAATGTGCTAGACCAAACTAAAATCATACGAGTCCAATTATGTATGTTTTTTTCACTATAATGACTAATCTACTATGCATAGCAAATATATATACTTGGTTCAATGGCTTCTATCACAAGACTATGAATAATGTAATTTCTAAACCATATATGAAGATACGAAAATCTTCAGGAAGGTTAACCATGCAAATATGTGACAGACTAGTAATCCTGACATAATGAAAATCTTTGGGCAGGTTATCCACTCTACATATACAAAAAAGATAAAAATAACCACATGGCAGTCCCACATTTAAGAGAACCTTGCCCCTTTTTTTTGTCAATAAGTGAGTCATGTGTTTATAAATCATTCTTACAATGGATTAGGTTATTGACAATAAACTGGTCACTAATCTCAAAAATCATTCAATGACAGTAGATATTTGACGATTAATTGAAAGATAAATAATAACTGTTAGCATTTTTGTAAATTGTGAATAATTAAATTTACCTTTGGACTTCACATACATGCAACTAGAACCACACTACCAAAAAATATGGTAGTCATCTGGTTAGAGGATTTTTACAACCCTTGGTTATAGATAATATCTCTAAATGGTCAGAAATGATGTCCTGATTGTGCAAGAACTGGTTTAATAAAATATAATTGAAGTGAGTTATATCTTATTGCCTTGAATTACAAATTACAATCATTATTCAACTTCACTTGAACTGTATTAAAAAATTCCTTCAGACTAAACATTAACATTAAATTATGTTAGGCCTAAACTTATTTTATACTTAACCCATTAACTGCAGATGGCGGATATTTCCGTCATTGAAGTTCTGTGGCTCAGCTGCGAATGACGGAAATATCCGTCAATCGCACATACATAACTATAACTCTATGTGAATGACAATAATTACCATTTTATTGTGACTGATGACAACTCAGTTTTATCTGCGAGTCAGAAAATGACAACTGAGCTGCTCCTGCAGCAGTTAATGGGTTAAGCACATTTGATTTTAGCTGTTGGGTTTGCTTGAGTTTAAAAGTTATTTATAATAGTTAATTGCAATTCATTCAAGTTTTTAATTTATATTATTATTTCCATCAAAACAGAGAAACTTGTTATTACTACATTCGGCATTTTCGTTTTTCAGAATTTGTAGTGAGCAATAATTTGGCAGAAATAAATTTATTATTATTATTAATAACTTGAGAGTAAAAGTAATATTTTCTCTAAACTATTTTGTTTATAAGAAAAAAATGCAATAGCATGTGTTATTCAAATAACACTCCATAACTTCTGCTTCACATTAAAGAAATTTAGTTGCAAGATTTCTTTTTTGATAAAAGTACTCATCAAATATTGAATTTTCTTATTTTACCTGTTCCATCAGTCTTGATTCTATAAATTACATCCAAGATTACATCAGAGTAATAAATGTATCCACGGTGAGTATCAAAGTCAAGGCCAACATATCTGGCAGGTTTACTCACTATTGGTATTATAGCATCAGTAAACCCCTCCCCCACAGGATTGAGAATTGTTCCTCTAACAAAAGTTTGCTGAGAGTATAAAAGAAATTCTTCAACACCTGAAAAAAGATTTTTTTAAGGGAAAAAATTATTTCATAAGCAATTGTTAATAGTAAAAACAGGTAGAGATTAATGAAATAAATACATGTATTTGGAACAAAACATTAATACAGGTACCTGATCCCAAATCCGAAATATTTAGGACCCGAGTCATGTCGGATTTTGGAATTTTTCTAGTTTTGGGGTTGTCCGGCCTGGTTTGTATAGATGATATAAATAAAGTACGAAATATATATATATATAAAGGTTGTTATTTACTTGTCTTTTGGACATTTTCCCGATAACCAAAGGGGTAAAATTTCAAGTTAACACAGAGAAACGGCTGCACAACCGAAGGGCAGGTTTGAACTGAGACCACGTGTACTGCATTGACCCCCCCCAAGCAAAGTAGCTATACCGGTAATTTAATCTAGAATTAAACCCAAAAGAAATTTTTACTTACTTATTTGCACACTAATTTTTAGTGCAATTTTCTTAATGACAAGTTGGAAGTGAGCATCACTACCCAGAAAAAGTCTGGGTATAAGTAATTTCTCCAAGGTAATGGAGTGTTCACCAGAATAGCTGGTTTCTGGAACATTCCGATTTTCGAATTGCTGGATTTGGGATCGTCTACCTGTACAAAGACTAGGAAACTAGTTTGACACTTTCATGTGTCCTCTTCAGTCCTACACAGTCTTCTGAGATGAAATGTTTCCACACAGCTTAGATGATACCTGATTGTGAAAATCCCTTGAAGAAACACATCTTCAGGAAACAATTCAACTGATAGTGACCAAAATATTAAAATTGTCTTTTATACAGTTTATTTTCATTTGAACAAATTACTCGAATTGAATTACTTTCATGATTTCAATTTATGCCCTTTTCTTAATTCAAAAATTATTATACCTGCTAAGAAGCAGTCAAAGGCATAGTGACATCAACAAAAAAGTTTTTGTGTTGTTTTTATGGTTAGTAACCTATATTATCGCCTAGAGTAACCACAACAATGACTGACACCTGACAGCTACAACCTTACCATAAGTACTTTAGTAATTTTATTATTAACATGTATTTTAAATTAAGATATTTTGTATTGGTTAATAATTGTTTGAAAGAAGTTGAAGCTTACAGAATCTAATCATAAAAAAATATAATGAATGCAAGAATATACAAAGAAACTTACGAGTACACGATCTCCCATTTGGTGAGATCTCAAAGCCAATGCTACAAACACACCGATAACCAAGACCATATTCTTCAGCACTCGGGGTCACAACACACATATGCTCACAGCCGCCATTATTAACTTCACATGGATTGGTCACTAAAGCAAGATTCAATATAACATGACTAGCTCTGGTCATTTATTTATCATTTTCAAATTTTACTAATTAACTACTTTAATGTCTGGTATTATTCCCAAGTGAATAATATCACATAATAGAATTTACAAAAAACTCTGATGGGATTTCTTCATTCTTAAATTACTTCAAATTTTACTAATTAACTACTTTAATGTCTGGTATTATTCCTAAGTGAATAATATCACATAATAGAATTTACAAAAAACTCTGATGGGATTTCTTCATTCTTAAATTACTTCAAATTTTACTAATTAACTACTTTAATATCTGGTATTATTCCCAAGTGAATAATATCACATAATAGAATTTACAAAAAAACTCTGATGGGATTTCTTCATTCTTAAATTACTTCTCATCATAAAATGTTTAGAATATTAACTACATAATGGAGGTTTTGGCAGTAGTTAAACTCATGAAGTATTTTTTCTACTAATTCTACTTACACTAATTTAAGATCATTCTTATGTTTTATGATTACTATTTATAAATACTTAATGCAATTTCTTATGTGATTTTCTGGCTTTTAATGAAAATTCACATGTATTTGTTTTGTCTATTTACAATAAACCTAAATTCAACTTTTTTTTTCTTTTTTAATGTTTAATGGAACTTCACAAAATTTTTTAGTCAGTTACATGCCTTCCCTTTTGAAGAAAACTACAGATGAGAAAATCTAGCTAATTACTGCTTGGATGTTTATTAAAGGTAATTTGATGAAACATCTTACAGAATATAATTTTAGTTGATTAAAATGCTATAAATGTTCACAGTAATTTAAATAAAACTTGGAATATGACTTTAAACTGCATTATACTTAACTATAATTTTTAATTATACACTGTACACTACATTTTTTTGCTTTAGATGTGCATCAGCATTACATAACTACATTTGTCTAATATAGACTCTTACATACTTAAAACTTCATTCTGAAATGGAACTTATAAGAAATGTGTTTGAATAATTAGAGATCAGTTACCTGGTGGTTGGCGAAGAGGATGGTAAAACTTGATGGCTTTTGGACCTTTGAGTAGTGTTTTGTCATGATAAATGAAATCAACACTTTCAGAACTGTTGAAAAGATGGGTCCGCATCACACCTTGTCTTCTACCATCAGTCCAGTAAACACTGTTCTCAAACACAGTCAGCCTGCTTGGAAAAGGGACCACACTACTACCTCTAACAATTGTGTGCCTGAAACAAACAATTAAAGAAGTCTTTGGTTTCAGCTGCATTTACTTTAAATGAGGTTCATCAATATAGCTGACCCTACACTACTTCAGAACATTGTAACTGCAACCCTACTCATCTCAAAATTTCAAGTTAAAGACAAATTTGTTAAAAAACTAAGGAGTTGACTAATTTTATGGAAACATTATACAAAACATCATTAAAATCTAAAACATAAAAACTTTTTACTCAGTTACAATAAAATACATGCCTTTTTTTGCCATCATAGTCAACAGCCACTATCTGGTTCAGCAGTGAGTCACACCAAATAAGTAGCTTGTTAACATAGTCAATGGTAAGGCCTGAAGCTTTGTATATGAAAGAGTCGACAATAGAGTTTCTATTAGAACCATCCATATGTGCCTTGTCAACCTTATCATCGTAACTGAAGAACATCAGTCTGGAATAATCAAGGAGAGGTTATAAGGCAGTGTTAGTTATGAAATAGTAAACAAAATAACCATTTGGAAAACTGGAACAAAATGTTAAACATAGTACAAAGAAACTTGTTAATACTGACAATATAATTAACTTAAAACTTATGGAAAGAAAATTATAGAAAAATCAACATTTAATATGAACATGAAAAGTTTTCCAAGCTGCCTTATAATGGTTTGTATTAAATAACTAAACAGTAGCTTACTCCACTATATAGGATAGAGAAATGTCTAGTGGAGCAGTCATAATGATCTACCCACAGCAAGGTAGAAACAGATCAAATGCTCACACATTGTGTGGGATCCCAGAGACACTGGCTAGAATCTATTTTCCATTAACTTACATTACATTTCTTTTTCTTAATCAGATTAAAAATTACTTTTATGTCACAAATGCACAGGAATAAAAAATTACTAACAGCTCAGAAGACAGAATGCAAAATATTACACCCATAGACAGACATTTTGACTATGGAATGACCCTCAAAGTTTTGCTGGCATGCAACGTCTGAAATTAAAGATGAATCCTAATGTGTCCTAAGGTGAGATATGTCAGTTTAAGAAACACATTCTTACATTTTAAAAAAATCATAAAGAAAATGTGTTTTAATGAGCAAATTAGCAATTTGCAACTGCGAGAATAATAGCATCACATACAGTAAAGATTGGCCACAAAAGAGGGAGGTGGAATACCAAAATAATAAATAACTCTTTATAAATAATAAAGTAAAAGAAGTATATTTGATTAGCTATAGTTATGACCAATATCAGGTTGAACTTTAGTTTCACTTTAAGCACGTAGCTTGCTCTGTTCGGACGTTTATATTAGCTTATAATAAATTAAGCAGTAGGTTTGTGGAATTAAAACAGAGAACTCCTGCCATGGTCCACAGTATTGGGTTATTCATTCTCTTACATTTTACCCTCTGAAGTAATGATAACAAATGGTTTTTATTTCCAGAGTTTATACTGTCATACAATATAATATAAAGCATAGAAGGAATTATACAAAAAGACCCCAATTAAAAAAGTTAGAATATTTAATCTTTGACAGAAACATAATATTTCACTGAGGTATAATATATGATAAAACCATGAAATCTCATGCTTATATTAGAAACGGAAATATATCAAGGTGTAAAACATTAAGGTTAATCATCGAGTAACTCACTGTTAAAACTATTTTAATCTTCCTGTTATTTAAGGTTTCATTAAACTGTATACAGAATACTATTTAACAACTGTTGCCACAGTATTTACTAATGCACAAAACAAACCCACAGTACACAATAAATGAACCATTCTTGTTCCCAAAACGTCAGTAAACCTGCTACTCTCTTCAAGAGACCCTCCTTCACTTACCCTACTGTAGGGTCCAGAGTTATGTCTAATAGAGAGGATAATTTGTGGCTGATGATTATGGCATGCTGGTCACCCTCCAGTTCCATAAGGTCTATTTTCTGGCCTACAGCATCACAGATGTACAGTTTATTTCCCACCCAGTCCACAGCCAGACAGACAGGATTCCAAGGAAAGTGAATAACAATTTCTCCAGACTGCTTCATGTCAGAAGCTTGTAATTGGTAAACCTATTAAAACAGGTTGTAAATCTTTAAAAAAAAACAACTGTAAAAGTTAAAACATTTTCATCCCACATACATTATAAATTAACTATAAAATATGTTTAAAAAACATTTAATTTGTAAAACCAATATCCTATGTGTGAAATCTAAAACTCCAAAATATTAAGGTCGTAAAATAAGATGGCTTGACATAAAAAAGATATACAAAATAACATAATACACATGCACTACACCATGATCAACAGAACTAAAAGGTGTGGAACTATACATTTTAGATCTAGTCTGGGAACACAGACATAAAAATTATATACGTAATAACATAATACACCATGATCAACAGAACTAAAAGGTGTGGAACTATACATTTTAGATCTAGTCTGGGAACACAAACATAAAAAAGATATACAAAATAACATAATACACATGCAATATGCCATGATCAACAGAACTAAAAGGTGTGGAACTATACATTTTAGATCTTGTCTGGGAACACAAACATAAAAATGATATACATAATAACATAATACACATGCAATATGCCATGATCAACAGAACTAAAAGGTGTGGAACTATACATTTTAGATATAGTCTGGGAACACAAACATAAAAAAGATATACCAAATAACATAATACACATGCTC